ACACCCATCCACCATAGCCGACCATCCCCAACCCTTCTTCCACCTCCATCACCTACACCCATCCACCATAGCCAACCACCCCCAACCCTTCGTCCACCTCCATCACTTACACCCATCCGCCATAGCCGGCCACCCCCAACCCTTCTTCCACCTCCATCACCCACACCCATCCACCATTGACGACCACCCCGTTTCACCTCCATCACTTACACCCATCCGCCATTACCGACCGCCCCCAACCCTTCTTCCACCTCCATCGCCTACACCCATCCACCATAGCCGGCCACCCCCAACCCTTCTTCCACCCCATCACCCACGCCCATCCACCATAGCCGACCGCCCCCAACTCTTCTTCCACCTCCATCACCCATACCCATCCACCATAGCCGACCACCCCCAACCCTTCTTCCACCTCCATCACCTACACCCATCCGCCATAGCCAGCCACCCCCAACCGTACGTCCACCTTCATCATCCATGCCCATCCACCATAGCCGACCACCCCCAACCCTTCTTACACCTCCATCACCCACACCCATCCACCATAGCCGACCACCCCCAACCCTTCTTCCACCTACATCACTAACACCCATCTGCCATAGCCGACCACCCCCAACCCTTCTTCCACCTCCATCACCTACACCCATCCACCATAGTCGGCCACTCCCAACCCTTCTTCCACCTCCATCACCCAAGCCCATCCACCGTAGCTGACCACCCCCAACCCTTCTTCCACCTCCATCACCCACACCCATCCACCATAGCCGACCACCCCCAACCCTTCTTCCACCTCCATCACCTACACCCATCCACCATAGCCGGCCACCCCCAACCCTTCTTCCACCTCCATCACCTACACCCATCCGCCATAGCCGGCCACCCCCAACCCTTCTTCCACCTCCATCACTTACACCCATCCACCATAGTCGACCACTCCCAACCCTTCTTCCACCTCCGTCACCTACGCCCACCCACCATAGCCGACCATTCCCAACCCTTCATCCACCTCCATCACCTACACCCATCCACCATAACCGACCACCTCAACCCTTGTTCTTCCTCCATCACCTACACCCGTCCACCACAGCCAGCCACCCCGACCCGTCTTCTCTATCGTCTCCTTCACCCACTCGAAAGTCATGAGGATCGGAAGAGGGGGGGCGGGGGTAGATGGGATCTTGGGTAGAGGTAGGTCAAGAGGGGGCGAGGTCGATTAGGATGTGAAAACTTCTTGAATTTTCTCTCTCTCCCTTTCCCCCTTTCTCTCTCCCTCTCTCTCTCTTCCCCCATGCTTCCAAACTCTTTAGCCCTTACCTCTTCCTCACTCCTTCCTTTCCATGGCACTTAACTGACCTCTACCTTCACCTGTTACATTGCCAGGGGACGAACGGTAACGAACTTGATCCTCACTTGGTGGAAAGAGAGGGCAAGGGGAGGGCCGCCGGTCCCTTGTGCCACCAAGAAGGAAAAGCGTCGGACAGTTGTGGACATTGGATAAAGCGGAAAGGAGTGTTGTTTTTGTAACAAGATCATTCTGACTCAACCATCTCCCCCGACTGCATGACTAAGGTGAATGCATGGTTTTGCTTGAGGGAAGGACGGGACAACCAAAGGATCATCGAAGGGCAAAGGAAACTTAGGCTTGCTGGGAGGGACGGTGTGTTGTCCCCAACGGGGATTGTATTTGGTCCATGCTTCGTGTGGTATTGTGCAGGTGAGGAGCTTGGTGATGGGTGTTGAGCGGGACTGGATTCACCGGGAAGCCGACAAGGGAAAGACTTGGGCTTCGGGCGGGCCACGGATGTGGGAGGGACTTGAGGATTAAAAGCATGACTGCATGGCAGACCATGGGGTGTGACATTGTGTGTCGATTGAATGCAATGACTCTCTTGAATGCAGTGTACGCCCGGAAGGACTAAGGGCGGTCTTGGATAGGTGAATGCGATACTAGTGACTCGAGCAAAAAAAGAAAATATCGGCTAGGGGTTCGGGCGGTGCCACTCCACCCCGAGGATGTCGCAGGGGCGGTCTTGAGTCGTTAGGCTTAGTGAAAAGGTGTGTGGTCCAAGGGATGAGGTTTGGCCTACACACGAAATGAAGGTAAGCTCTCGATGAATTCCTTGGAATGCCTGCGTATTGGAAGGAGCAATTGTCTGGCCAGACTTAACTGAATCGAGAAAACGCCACGAGTGCCAAAGAGCTATCATCTTGACGCGAGAGCGGAGCTACATCCCCCAATGTAAAGCCCTCTCGCAACTGGCCCACCCCCATCCATCTCAAAGCACTAGGTGGGGGTGCCCCTGGGATGAACAACCCGCGCCCTGAGCGTGAGCGTGGGCGGGTCGAGCCAAGTGAGACCAGCAGTGCGGTCGACCAAGGCTCGAAAGTCCTTCAGGGTGCGGCCCCTACAAAAATGGTGGAGGTGCCGGGTACTGGGTTAAACTGACCCAGACGGTCTCGAGGGGGGCGCCTGACGCATGACCGTGAATATAAACATTAAGAGAAGGAACGAGGACTTGTGTATGCTCTATCCTTTGAGTGAATCAGATTTGAGGGTGGTTGGGCGCATGGCAAGGCCAGACCTGGAGGAAGAACATGCATGTTGCACATTTGATCAACCATCTCCCTTTGAGGTGACTCTAGTCCTCCTTCCCTCGAGCTGATGTTCGTCAGACCGGGGAAGCCTTGGGCAAACCGCAGGTCGACCCCTCCTCTTCGTGTGAAAGGGGGGCTCCGGTTACCTGACAGGCGATTGGGATTCCGGGCTAGTCCGGGTCCCAATGAAAATCCCGCGGCGGAGCGATCCGACCGACCCGGGTTCCTTCTCTCCTGTTCGGAGCCCAACGGGCTATATGCACCACACTTAATGCTTGAAGGAACCTCATATGAACACAAAGGGTAATCGAGAAGGAACAATCCTGCCCTATGAACGGACACACAAGCGAAGATAAGGGAATGAAGGGAGTTGCTAGACTCCGAGGAAAACTAGCTCACCTTTGAAGATGCCCATGAGAAGGAACATGGCACTATGTATGGAAGTTAGGGGTGAGTGACACGCACTGTCCCGAGAGAAAAATTGTGAGTTATGGGTAGGAAGCGTTGGGTGCACCAGGGGAAAGGCACTTGTGTTATGTGTGTCCCACTTGGGACTTGTGATTGCATTAATGGGATTTCGAGCGTCCTGCCATTTGGAAGGAAAGGAGGGGTCTGCACCGGCCACTGCGGATTGCCAAACACCGCTCTCTTTGCAGGCTGTCGTTTGTTCGTATGCGGGGGTCAGGCCACCGAGCTGTCTAACGGGAGTTTGTCACGTCGAGTGCTTATTAGCATTCTCGTCCACGAGGTGACGGGCTTCGGCTCGATTGATCCGTCGGGCGGGGTGTGAAACGTTCCTCAGGCGGGGCCTAGCCTGTGGACTGGCGGAGGGAGCCCCACTGCATGGGGGCAAAGACAGAGCCTGGGAGGAGGTCAGTAGCTTCTCGTAGCCTGGTTTGGGAAAGGCTGTTCCTTATCGGACCGATGCAAGTGAATGCCTGGACGGCTGACTCCAATGGCCCTACCGAGATGTGCGGGGTGATTCTCGAGATTAACGGTGGGTACACGAGCGGCAAGTCGGAATGGGGTATTCTGGGCGAGAAGGTGAGGGCGACCCCGCATTGGAGTCTGGGTACCGCGCTCGCGACGGTTGAGCTGTGCTTGAGGAATGGGATAAAACCCTGCCGATAGTAACAGTGGAGAGACCATTTTTGGGGAAAAGGTCGGTGAGGAGATGACCGACCTGTGTGCGACGTTTGCCTGAGTTTTGCTTTTTGTGCCTCCATCTGTAGAGTTGCCTGATGAATGGTGGATGGGGACCGAGCTTCTAAGTCTATTCTCACCTCCAGGTCTAAGTCCGCATGAGTGAGAGAACATGAGGAAGAGGCTGGATAGGAGTCGTAAGAAAAAGGAACCCCGAGAAAGCAATGCCGACTAAGCATGATCGATTGGGGGTATGGTAGGGCAATGGCACCTGGGAAATAGATAAGAAAAGTTAGGGAGACCCGGATGAGGGGTCAAAAACAACTCTCATCTAGAAAAGGAAAAGCAAACCATCCGACCATAAGGGGCCGTGTGGTACTCTCATGTGGAAAACAGGACAAGCGTCAGGAAACAAGATGGCGCGATGGTTGTTGCCTCCTGTCTACTCTAGTGGTCCGGAAATGCCTATAGAGGAAAAGGATGGGGTATCTGTTGTTCTCCCGGAAGAAGGGACGTGGACCGACCTAGAACCGGCCTATGAGACCGTGATGCTGGACGAGAAGGACGCGTTCCTCTGGATAGAGACAATCTGGACTAAGGTCAGCTTGACGAGACTTTCACCTAGCTTGATGGACCTAGAATTCCGGGAAACAGTGGAAGCTAGAGGATGGGTCTACCTATCACAGGAATTGGAAAATGCAATGGTAGTGGGACGAGTATTGGGCACGGCGCCAGATCAACTGTTTAGGCAAGCGGAACGGGAAGTGGTATGGGCAGCATGTCAGCGGGCAGAAATGGAGATGGAAAGGATGGAGGTGCGAGTGGAACTCGGGGACCGGAAAAATATGAGACGTCCTCTTAGGACAATGAGGTGCGTGCTACCCCCGTTTCTGGTGGATGCAGTCTTTGGGACCAGGGATAGACTGGAACGTATATGCCAATCGATGACACACCTGAGGTTGTACCAATGTGCTAGACAAGACTTCTTTAGACTGTCGGTGGAAGCAGGGTCGTTTGAAGGAAACTGGGCGGAAAAATTAGCTGAGGTGTTAAACCTCCTCGGCGCAAACGAAGTCTTTGTTCCTAGTCCGGTGTATTGGCAAATAGTTTACCGAAACGTGGCAGCAGGGGAAACCTTCTTAGAAGGGGTGAAAGAGATGTTCTTAGACGAGGAGGAGGATTCCAGTGATGAGGAGGACGGGGACGAGATAAAGGACGGGGACTTCTGAGGGGGGGGGCTTACATGGGAAAACGGGTTGTCGACTATGTGCAGGTAGGGAGCGATGGCCCGGGAACTTGAGCTATGGGTTTGCACATGGGAACCAAGACGAGTCGGAAGGGGAGTAGAGATGTCAATACTGTCGAGCAATTAATGAAAGGGGACCATATGTGATTGGCGGGGGTATGAGATTGTGCCGGAGCTATCGTACCTTTGGATAGAGCGTGTCTGGAACCCGCTGAGGGAAGAGGAAGGATGGGAAGAGATTGCRGAAGGAAGGGTGGAATCAGCYGGGAMGATYGTTCTCTCTRAACAAGGTTGGCACCTGTTCTGCACAACGCTCGCGGCAGGACAGAACCCGATGTGGCTKTTAGGGGACGCTGAGGCAAGGGCTCGACAGGCGGGGGAAWGGTTTGCTAACAAAGGYTGGGATACGGTCAGCAGTAGAGTCGTGATGGGAGGATGGAAGGAATTTAAACCGCCTGGCGCCCGAATCAAGACCTGGGTGCCCGAGTTCGTGGCCGACTGGTTTGGGGGTTTTGATCACGTAACAGAGGTAGCCGACACGATGGAGCGAATACACATGAACTGTGCATGGCTAGCAGAGGAATTATATAGGACGTCCTTGAAGTATGGGCCCTTCCATGGCAATAGAGCCTGGGAGGTCCTTATAATTTTGGATATCGAAAGGAATGACCGGCAGGAGGTGGCTCCGGAAACTAGGAAGGCCATAATCCGCCGTGAGGTAGCAGCAACACCTTGCTATGTGGATGATGTGTTCAAACTGTTCGAAGTACTGTGGTTCGACTAAGCGCAGGAAAGTCGTGGGGCCAGGCAAGTATGGGAAAAATTGCTAAGATAAGGGAATGGGATGTCTGACCATTGTAGGGTTCAGTGCGGACTGCGAGCCAGGAGATCAAAGGCGAGTGCGTAATAACGCGAAGAAGGACGTTCCTCGAGGAACGCCCCTTGGGCATTGAACCGCCTAGGGAAGTACCGGGCAGGATAGAGGTTAGCTTGCCAGCGGCAAGTGGAGGCTGGCACCGGGTGGCGGATTTGGTCGGAGTCGAATCTGAGGAAAACATGGTTTACTTAGTAACAAAAGTTGAGTGGCGTACGAACGAGAATGGGGAATGAAACTCGGACCCGCGGGGGCATGTGCATGCAGAAGGGCGGTGGTATATGTCAAAGGATGGGTGGCGGGAGTTTGGAGTTATGTTGGCGTCAGGGGAGGATCCATTGAGCATGTTCAAAGGGGCGTGGCAGTTGGTGTGGCAGACGGGAATCGAATTCGTGGACCCAGGGATGGATGATGTAACAACAAACCTTAGGGTAGCCATGCTCGGGAGCTTTGAGAATGTCCGGATGAGACTGCCGCCCTTCCTGCTGGAAAGGCTAGGCGGAGTGGAACATGTCAGACGCGCGGTAGCTGACTTTGCCACTCTGACATATGAGGACACAATGATACACCGGGAATACTACCGGGCCTTCCTAAAAATGGGGCCGTTTAGCGGGGAGCAGAAGTATGAGGTGTTGCGGAGTCTGCGCGCCGTTTTTACCACCAGGCCAAGGGCCCCGGTCGTAGGTGATAAAGTTCTATGGGGCGTCGTTCGACTGGAAATAAGTTAGGGGATGACGTATGTGGATGATTTACACCGATTGTATGAGTCGACGGGAGTAGGAACAGGCTGGTAAAAGAGCCGAGAAAAAGGAAGAGATAGAAGGGGAAAGAGGCATTGAGATAAGGACCAAGGAATTGCTCAAGTAAGGGTCGGGGAATGGATGGAATAAGCAAACTCGCTTGTTGTTTAAACTGTGCAGGGGACCGCTAATCGACAATGGCGATGAGACTTGCCCGGATGTCGCGACGACTCACGCAACCGCGGCCACCGACAGAATGTGGGGGCGGATGGGAGGTATCGCTCCCGGCAAGCTACAGGGTCCGAGGGATTGGTACCGAATGGAGAGCCGTGACCCTGGGAAGGGACCATGCGTTCATGATGGTGGAATATTTGAGGGATGGTATGAGGATTAATAGGGGGTCAGGGGACGATCTGTACATTGACCTCAGGGTGACGAGGACCGTATACCTGCCAGAGCTTGGGTGGCATATGTTAGGAACGGAGTTGGCACTAGGACATGGGTTGTTACCAATCTTTCAAAGGGCTACTAGGGTACTGAACCGAGTAGGCCAGGAAGTGCGAGGTAGGAGGAATGTGGGGTTGAGGACCCGGGTGGAAGTAGGAGGTTGGTGAGAGTTTAAGGCCCCAATGACAGGGCTGAGGTGCCAAGTCCCCCGCTTCATGGTGGACCTGGTATTTGGCAGCCTTGAGAGGGCTAGCGACCTAGTGGATTCGACCCTGGTCTGGATTCACCACTTTCGACCGCAGACAACAGGGATGTTTTACGACGTGTCGGTCACTCATGGACCGTTCTGGGGTAATCAGGCCTGGGAATTACTCGACCTGATTGAAATTTTGATATTCGGGTTGCCTGGCTTGGCGTTTGAGGAGTATGAACCAATAATCGTTAGGGAAATAGAGATGGGAGAAAACTATCTTGCTGGGGTGGCCGACCTGTTCGAAGAACCGGATGAGCAAGGCAGGCCTGAGGGACCGGCATGAGAAAATGTGTCAGAAATAAATAGGGAAATAAGGGACGGGAACTGAGATAAGAAGGCAGCTATCACCAAAAAAGGGGGGCCAGTGGTTGGAGTTTCGTCCGATCCGATAGCACGGCAAGAAGGAACTAGGAGAACCACCTGCACCAGAAAACTCTGGGGCATTTGGAGGTCGAAAAGCCAAAAGGGCCATCCTCGATAAGGAGGCCACTGGGCTCAAACACCACCCTAAGAGCCAAAGCGCGACAGTGACAAAATGCCAAGCAGCGGCAGCAAGTTGCCCGGCGGGAGGAAACCTGAAGGACGCCCTGGGACAGAAAAGTCAAAAGAGTCGGGCCGATTAAACGTAAGTCGCAAAAACATGGGAATAGGCGGATTTTAGGGCCGGGGCTAGGACAGTTATGAACAACTGGCCACTTTTTCGCAAAAAAAAATTTTCATGTGCAGGCTAGGTAAAGAAATAGCGACTGAGGAAGGGATCGATGACCAGCAGAGCGGAGGGAATCAGGGCACGAATGGGGATGGGGAACGAAACGAGGGATCAGCCAGGGATCGAGAGTCAGCCAAATTGGAAGGAACCCGAGAAGACGGAAAAAAACGCCTCAATTGGAGAAAGTTCGGGGAAAGCTGGGGGTAGCAAAAGGGGACCTCAGGAAAACAGGGAAGGGAAAATGATATGAGAACAAGCCCTCGGAACTCAGCAGGAGCCACCCCTAAAAAGACAAAAGTCTCGGATGCCAGTCGTAAATTGGCAGAGATAGAAAAGCAGACTGCATAATTTAATGCAAGGCTTATCGAGCAGATGATGGCCGAGGATGAGGAGGACCCCCAGGGCGCCGGGTCACGTGAGGGACGCAGGACCGGTCAGGACTAGGCCAGGTATGAGGGGAAGGATAATAGTCACAAAGGAACGCCTAGTAAGAAGGGGAAGGACAAGAACGACCTCCCGACGGAGGAGACGGAAAACGCTATGACCCCGCCTGCCATCGACAGCGGCACTAGTCGACTGCCAGCCACGCCGAAAGTAACAGGGGTGTGCGACGGACTCGGGAGCCTTAGGGAAAGGGTGCTAGGATGGTTTGACCCAGAAGGAACGCCGAAAACCAAGGAGAAGCAGAGGGAAAGCAAGGAAGGGGAAGGGACCAGTGCAGCTGGAGAAGCAGGTAGCTCCGAAGGTGGTCTCAAGAGGATAGTCACCACCCTCACCCGGGCACTAAACAAGAACCAGGGATACCTCGCAGATGCAAAGAAGAAACTCACGTTCGACGGGGCAAACATTACGGAGTTCCTGATAGACTATGAGAACCTAGTAGCTTTACTAAAATGGACGGAAGAGGAAAAGATGGAGCACCTAGGGCAGCACGTGTCGCTAAGCTTGGGAAGGGACATTATGGCCATCGTCGCGTCCAGTGGATCCTGGAAAGAAACCAGGAACGAGATGATGAGGAAATACCTGAAGGCAGAGAAAATGGCAAGAGAGGCCGAATTAGCTGCAGTCCAAAGGTAAGACTATGCAACTTATAACGATTTCCTAAGGGCCTTTACGTTAGTGGCTCTGCGAATTCCCGGGGTAACGGACCGCATAACGAGTAAATACTTCCTCAGGCAGTTCTCCGAGTTTGATAAGGATAAGATTTTGTCAACATACCAGCAGACCAGTAAGTTTGAGTACACGAGAGATGTGGACTTCAGCACCGTAACAGACCTTGCGGAAAAGACAGTGGTCACTAAGACACTAGCCCTACTTAAGGAAGGGGAGGTCATAAATCTGACCGGGAAAACAGAAGATAAGGTTAAGAAAGGGATAGAAAGCTTGCACGAGCGAGTGCATGGGGTTGACAGCAAGATGGAAAGAATGGAAAATGCGTTGTTAGTAATGCAGGCCCAAGTGTCCAGACCCGCCCTTCCGCCCCAAGAGGCCGTGGTCCCGGCAGCTGTAGCAAACCGAGGATTTGGCAGGAGGGACCCGGCCAACGAACAATGCAAGTATTGCACCATGATCAGGCATTTCGTACGGGCCTGTCCGAGACTCGATCACGATATCGAGCGGCAGAGGTGCAACAGGTCCCTCAAAGGCGAGATCCTCGGATCCAGGGGAGAGCATGTCAATTGGAACTCGCCAGGAGGGATGCGGCGAGCCGTCATCCTCCTAAATAACTTAGAGATAGCTGCCGTAAAAGCAGAGCCGATAGCCGAGATTATCTGGGACCAGCCAAGGGGACGAGGACCACGGGCCAATTTTATCCTAGAAGGCAATGGGCAGGATAGAGTAAATATCACTACCCGACGGGCTGGCGCGGAAAAGAAGCTCATTCGAGACACAGTAATGGAAGAAGCCGTGGGGGCTAGTGCGGATCGGGAGGAAGCTGAGGCCGGGGAATAGGAGAAGGTCTATGGAAAAACGAGGGAAGAGGAACCGGTAGACAAAGCCACGACAGCAAAAAAGAAGTTCAGATACCAGATTCCGATTCTGACGCTGCCCGAATTAGATGACACACTGAGCAAGCTCCTGGGCACCATGGTGTCAATATCCTTCCATACCATGCTGCAGGCAAGCCCGAGACTGCTCAAGGGCCTCAGGCAGCTATTGACGTGTAGACGTGTAGAAGTAGAGGAGGCTCCGGAACCACAGGAACAAGGACCCGAGGAGGCAGAGGCGCCACAAGGAGTTTCTAACCTCCAACGCATTCCAGGGGGCCTAGAAGACTTGGAAAAAGCCTTTGCCAATATTCGTCTGAGTCTGCCGGACTGAGAAGGTGGCGAAGTAATGAGAGCACCGCCTGACATTAAACTTAGCTTCCACGCACTGGCTTCCACGCACTGCCTGTAGGAAAACTTAAAGTCCAGGTCGGAACCCACCACACCGATGCATTAGTGGATGGCGGCGCAGAAATTACCCTCATACGACATGATTTTGCAACGATCACGGGGTGCACAGTAAACAAGGAAGTAGCAGGGAGTATCAGGGGAGCAGGCGAAAAAATCCCCTTCACTGGGTATGTCACAAAATGCGCGGTTAGGGCAGGAATTCGAGAATCCATCTGGTCTTTCCAACGGATGACCGTCATGGAAGAAATGAACCATGACATAATCCTTGGGAGACCTTGGTGCGCCATGTAGAAATGATTGGCATGCACTTGCATGACGGCATGTACATGGTAGACATAAAGGATCCGGTGACAGGTCGCGGAGAACTCCTCCGACTCCTCGGAACTGGAGGGGACCCTCCCAAGGGTAAACTGGCAACCTGGTCGCCGACGTTTGAAGAAAGTGTCTGCAAAGGCGCAATCGTACGGATGGAAGGTATGAGAGAAAGAGTAGAAATCATGATCGAGGAAGTCTTTAGCAAGAAGGAGTGGATCAAGATGGTTCTACCCCTGAAGAAGAGGAGGCAAGAGGACGAGGCCCTGGAAGTTATGGTGGCAGAAAAAGAGTCGGAAGTCGAACGTGAGGCCAACCTGCCCAAGCCAAAGGAAGACCGGAACGAAACATCGAAGGTGGTGCTTGAAATCCCAGATTTGTTACAACTCGTTAAGGCCATCAGGTACCACAAAGTGGGTGTGGACCCCGCAGCGCTTGCTAGATTTGAGGATGGGGTCCGAAAGGGCTACTGTCTGAATGGGAAGCTAGTCAGCATCCAGCCCCGCGTCTTGGAGGTAGCAAGGCCGATCCCGACCGTTCATTTTTTAGGAGAACGATCCCAGAGGGCAGTGTGCGAAAATACAAACCCGTAGGGAAGAAGGTCAAGCCGGTCTCGATCCTAGTAGAAACATGAAGGGAAGAGGCCATGGAAAAGGAAGATGAGATCCTACGGGTTATAAGGGAGAGACGCGCAACGGAAGGTCATTGCATACCAGATGACGTAGCAGATACCATGAAAATAGGAGTGGAAGGGTTCCTAACACCGGAAGAAACTCAGTTGATAAGAAAGGCATGTCAGGAGTTTCATTTAGCTTCCGCCTTCAATGATCATCAGAAGGGGCGATTGGACGCAAAGTTGGTTCCCCCTGTCAGGATCCACACCGTACAGCATGAGTGTTGGAATGATAAAGGGCCCGCCTATGAGTTTGGGATAGCTGCGGAGGTCACCGACCTCCTTAGAGCCAAGATAGATTCTTTCGTGGTTGAACCCACCACATCCCCCTACGTGAACAAGTGGTTCGTGTTCAGGAAGCCCAATAAGACGCTCAGGTGGATCCAGGACCTATAGAAACTCAATTCGGTAACAATTAGGGATGCAAGCTCGGTTCCGTAGGCCGACTTGTTGGTAGAATCTCATGCGGGGCGGAACATTTACTCCCTGGTAGACTTGTACTCGGGATATGATCAGTTGCCGCTCGATGCGAGGGATAGACCGTACACTGCAATGCACACCCCCGTAGGACAGTTGCAGATGCAAGTGACCCCTATGGGTTTCACAAATGCAGTAGCAGAGGCGCAGAGGAGGATGCTCGCCGTCACAGGGGATATGTTTCCAGAAAAGTGTGAGCCGTATATAGATGATAATCCCGTAAAAGGCGCAAGGTACAAGGACGAGACGGAGGTCGACCCGGGTGTGCGAAAATTTATCTGGGATCACCTACAGGATATCAAGGATCTCCTACAACGGTTCTTGCTCTATAATATTACCGCAAGTGGGCCAAAGAGCATCCTGGCCGTCCCGGAGGTAACTATACCGGGATTTCGCTGTGAGGCCTATGGGAGGAGACCCGACCCAGCAAAGACAGATAAGATCTCTCAGTGGCCGACACACCTGCGTACCACGACGGAAGTACGAGCCTTCCTAGGGGTGGTTGGATTCTGGAGGATCTTCATCAAAGGGTTCGCAAAGATAGCAGAACCTATCCGCGCGATGATTAGGGAAAGTGGCACTATGGATTGGACCGAGGATATGGAAGAGGCAGCCCAGACCCTGAAAGACATCCTGTCGTCCGATGAGGTTATCTTAGCAGCACCCTGCTTCAATGACGAAGTAGGACGGCCCTTCATCCTAGAGACAGATGGCGGCCCAATGGAAGTAGGAGGCGTATTGATAAAGAAAAGCGAGCAGGGCAAGGAAAGACCAATCAGATTCGAGAGTTGGACCTTAATTGCGGCAGAACGGCGGTACTCGCAGTTCAAGAAGGAGGTCTTAGCCATCCTATATTGCCTGAAGACCTTCCAGGACTATCTGTTCGGAAGGCGATTCATCTTAAGGATCGATCGCACCAATGTTGCCGGGGCACTGAAGAATTACAAGCCTATAGATCCGACCGTCGGCAAATGGATAGGCTTCATATGGCAGTTCGACTACAAGGTCGAGCGGATCGCAGGCTTCGAAACAGGGCGGATGGGTTGAGTAGGGTATGCATCACGCCGGAGGGAATAAAGGACGCGGAACCAATTGACGCCTTCCTAGATTACGAAGGGGGGGCCCTTGTTGTGGATAACGAAATGACCAACTCAACGCTTGATTCAGACCTTGGAAAAGGGCACGCCGCAGTAGTTGCAGAACTCAGGGAAGGACCACTCACCACGGTCAAGCGCAAAGAGGAAAAGGACTCATGGGGTGCAGCCGTAGGGCCCAAGGAGGAACTGATGGCAATGGCAGTAGAGGAGGGCGGGACGCCGTGATGAACCTAGCAGAAGCCTGGGCGCAAAGGGAGCGACAATATTTAGTTAACCAGAATCAAGAAGGGCAGGATGGCGATAAAAAAGGGCAGGAATTTTTCCTCATACAGATGTACGAGGGCATCTTCAGAGAAATCGGCCTGCTCCTGGTAGGCAACAAGCAGCCTAGGGAAGTCAGCCCCAAGGCGAGGGAGGAAGCAGAGAAGTATGTTTTAAGAAACGGTCACCTGTTCAAAAGGGAGGAAGGGATGATGCCTAGGCGTGTCGTCTGTGGAAGGTCTAGGCAGTTGGACGTAATCCACGCAATGCATGATGGGCCAGCTTGGGGTCACTGGTCGTCAAAGGGGACACTTGCAAAGATCGTGCCCCTGTATTTCTGGCCAGGAATGGCAGGCATGGTCGCAACGTACTGTCAGACGTGTCTAATATGCCAAGAGAGGAGCTCCGGGCGAGTTAACGAGCCCCTTAGACCCACTCGGGTACTGGGACCCGGACACCTTGTTCACCTCGATCTTGCGGTTGTGCCCGTATCGACGGATGGGTTTAGATACATCCTGGATGCAAGGGATAATCTCAGTGGCTATGTAAAGGCCGTAACCCTCAAAAAGAAGACGGGGAAAGCAGTGGCCGATTGGGTGGAAGATTTCTACCTAAGACACCCCTTTGTGCGCAGGTTTATAGAAGACAATGAGACAAAATTCGTTGACCAGGAGGTGTTGAACAGGCTTAAGATATTGTGCGTACCAATCAAGATTACTGAGCCCTACCATTCTAAGGCAAATGCACCAGAAGAAAGGGGGCATCGGACCTTGAAAACCACAATCGCTAAGCTTGCAGCAGACAACTTGGGGAACTGGCCACGGTACCTTAAGCAGGCAGTCTTCTCTGAGAACATGACACCAAAGAGAAGGACGGGATGCATTCCAGCGGAGCTATGGTATGGAAGGGAGATTGACTTCCCAGTGGAGGCCCTCGTCCCTACCTGGAACAGGTTAGATGATAATTCGCACTTGACCACGGAGGAGTTGATCACCGCACGCTGCTAGCAGGTCGCCAGGAATGAGGAGGCATTGGAGGAAGTAGTTAATCGTGTAACGGATAGCCGAATGAAGGACAAAGCAAGGTGGGACCAGGTCAAGAACATTCGGAAGGAGYCACTCCAGRTGGGGGAGAAAGTGCTAATTAGAAWCTCGRCCCTTGAAAGCACATGKKCTGGGCAGCTGGRAAARAGATTCAAAGAGCCTTACAGGATCGCTAAGCGGGTGGGACTGAATACGTTCGAACTTGAGGATCTTGATGGTACTAGCATAAGAGGACCATTTCCGGGACAGAGACTGGTCAGATTTTTGAGCAGGGATCCGGTGGAACAATGGTTACAAGAAGCCCAGGATAGGGAAACTGGGGAATTGACAACCTGAAAGGCAGGAAGCTAGCTATAAGTCCTGGACCGACTCCCTGTGGAAGTGATCATGACCACAGGGATTGTTCGTTTGTGTGTCTTGCTTTTTGTGGAACGTGGGGAGATTGTCTGGGTTGGCTGTGACTGGGCTTGGGAGTACGGGACAATGTATTATAGTTTTTGTGGGGTAACGCTGGGGCCTGTCTATACGAGGTATTTATGTGCTGGGATAATGTATTATAGTTTTTGTGGGGTGATGCTGTGGACTGCCTACATGGGGCGCCTATGTGCTGGGACAATGTGTCGAGGGTCTTAAGGGATAATGGGACTACCAACTATATGGGGGCAAGCAAGAGTTCTAGGGAAGCCTCTAAAGCTGCAAATGGGAGTGGAAGGGAATGCGTGTGTATGAGGGGTTGCGCTAACGGTTATGCATCAACAGGACCAGGCAAGGAGAAAACAACAAGAAAACAGCAAGATGGAGTTCGAAAATAAAAATGACGGCAACGCCATCAATAGGCCTACTGAGGGACAGTCGTCGAGAGAGGCTGGAGAATCAAGCTCCAGAAAAAGGAAATTGTATGTAGGGTTTGATCACAACCTGGTTGTGAACAGGGGGGGAAGAAAGCAAGGGACTAGGGGACCTTCACCACCAAGGGAGGGGGAGCCAATAGTCCTCCCCTCTGAAAGCGATAGCAGCAAGGAGGAAGAGAGGAACCCGGGGAAAAGGCTAAGGTTGGAGGAGGAGGAGTCCATCGAGGTCATAGACCTTAGTAGCGGGGAAGAAGAGGACGAAGTGACAACGCCCACAAGGGAAGATCGGGGAAGAGAGGAGGACCCAGGGGAAGAAAAGGACCTATGGAAAAGAGAATTTGCGCCGACTTTCAACGATTGGTTCAATCAATGGTCCAGTATTTTGCGTTATCAGTGGGCAATGAAGGGCAAGGAAAAGTTGAGCAGGGGAGAAGACATATCCCCAACAACCTTCTTTTCAGAAGAAACGCTTCTTCATCTACAGGCGATAAAGAGGCTAATGGAGCAAGAGATGGAGGACCGTGCAAGGACGGAGGCTCGGCGTAGGGCACCGGGGCAGTAAAATGGGACAGCAGGCATGATGGGAATAGTTGGAAATTGGGGGGAGGGTTGGTTCCTGGGCAGGCACAACGACCATTTTGAGTTTCACACTTGAATTCTGTTAAATGGATTGAGATGAGGCAACTTTTGACTAAGGACTGGGCAATGGGTGCTACTTCGTATGAGTCGTTGCTTCTTCAGGAAAAACACATAAGGATTAATGCACTTAGATATAAAATTGCAACTGGTTGCGTTCGCTAAGGGCAAGCAAGGGGAAAACAAGGGGGATCTAGATGAGACGAGTCTGTAATGTTGTCGTTGCATTCGAACTTTGTCTCCTCTTTTTTTTGGGAAGGACTGCAATGAAACTACTTTGTGGATTGAAGAAACTAGTAGGGGGGGGGGGGGGGCTGACCAGTGCTACTTTGTACGAGTATTCGCTCCTTCCGGGAAATATGAGTTTTTTTTTATAGTAAGAAAGAAACTGGGGATGATCAATGTTGTCTTAAGGTCATTGGAAGAAACGTTGATGACGAGAGTTTTTCCTTTTATTTATGTGTCCATGATTGAATGAGTCTTTGCACAAGTCCTTGTAAGAGGTTAAGGGACCTATGGGTAAAGAGGCATGAAGGACCCTCTTCCCTAGGAGCCTAATCCAACCGGTTCCACGTCGCTCCAGAACTGCAAAATGCATGTGAGTCCAGAGGAAGAGAAAACATGGAAAGAGTCAGCACCCCCTGTAATGGTTGAACGGCCGGGTGGGCTAGTGCTGCTTGGGGATGCGATCTCCAACTCGAGCATTAGACACTAAGTCGGATGTACGAATGGATGTAAGATTGGCAAATGGCATAAGGGAAAACGAAGAAGCATGCGTAAAAACCCAAGACGATGGCCGCCTTCCAACCCTGAGACGAGATAGGATCCGTGTCCTCGAGGCCCACCCCCTCGGGCGCTAACGTTGAAATGGACAAGGATGGCCCTAACCAGGCTGTCCAATTGAAATGGATAAGGATAGTCCTAACCAGGCTGTCCGATTGCAATGGATAAGAATGACCCTAACTAGGCTGGTCGACTTGGAAATGGAAAGAACGACCCTAACCACGTTCTTCGGAATGGCCCATGACAAGGGTCATTCTTTGGAATTGGCACTGGGGTCCCCTTGCATGGCTGCTTGAGATGCATGACATTGGAAGAGTTGAGCCTTGGAAAAGACATTGGAAGAGTTGAGCCTTGGGAACGACATTGGAAGAGATATTGGACTCACCCTTGGAAGAGGTATTGCATTGAGCATTGGACTGAGAATGAGCACCGGCATGAGATTGAGCATGGGAATGGGACTGAGCATTGAAATTGGATTAAGTATTGGAAATTGCATTACATATACAGGGGACCCTAGGCAACTGAAAATGGACGTGGAAAGAGCTTGAAATGGAATTTCTCTTTTCCTTTAGTCTTTGGCCTCAGCAAGAGGGGGATACCGGTGCATGCACCGCGACCCCAAGACCTTTATCCCTTTGAGGGAAAAAGTCTCAGCGCGACCTGTTCCTCTTTGAGAGGGTGAGGGTTAAAGGACTAAGGCACCTACCACCTGGATCGGTGCGGGACGTCCAGAACCACCTCCGACAATGAGCTCTAGTCGGGGAGTTCCAACTGCGCCTCCTGTTGAACGCCTAAACGTCGAAGGGCGAGAGAGCCAACTGGGCAGGAAAGTCATTCTCATCTAGTCTATTTTGCTACTCTTCAACCACACGCCACGTCATAGAGGGGTGGTATGGCCATTTGGGTCGGACAACGGCTGCCCGCACTAAGTTGGGCGGCACTATCCAAGGGGAGAGGCCGGCGAGGTACCGGGTGGAGTCCGCCACCACCACGGGGCATTGACACTGCCTTGTCGGGACATTACAACCGTTTCGGGACTAATTGCGAGGTCTTCGTAACTGCACTCGCGAACTGACCGAGAGCCCCTACTCTCTTGAAAGGAAGAGGCCGGAATCCAGAAAATCACCACTCGGGAGGAACGATTCACGAGGAACACTCTTACGACTAGACGAGGCCCTGGCAAGCTTGGATTGGACCTACCTGACAGACGCGGGGAGGAACCTCAGTATTGGTGCTCGCCACGTGAGAGAATAAAGGTCGAACCGAGTAGAAGGATGAGGCGTCGTTCGCTGGGGAGGAACTGATCACTCCTCCTTTTGTGAAGCGGATGGGTTTGTATCCTTGACTTGCGGTCGGCGGGCCAAAGGTCTGCGTACCTCCGAGTGAGAACCAGTCGCGCGATGGGGACATCGCGTTTTGAG